TTCTAACATATGAAAAACTCCTGCAAACCAATTTAAATAAAAACAAAAGCCTTAACTACATAAAAGGTCAGAGAAATAAAAATATAAATGGATGGACTGAATGTTTCCACAGTAAATTAATGACAGTAAACCTCAAATGGTTACCAATGCTGTCCAGTAATCATACTGCTTTATCTCAATCACTCTACTATACTTTTCCTAGAGGATTACTTCATATCATTTTCTTTATAATAAAATCCCCATTACTTTCTCTCCTATTCTCATTGTCAACTGCTAACATCCAAGTCCAGGTCACCTTATTTCTCACATGTATCACTATAGTATACTTCTAACTGGTAGCTATATCCACTTGACCACATGAATCATTGATAAACTGTAAGCATTTGTGTATATCCGTATTTATCCAAATATCTGTAGAACATTCAATAAGAAAATACCTAACTATGTAAGTTATACTGTTCAAAGAGGGGATATGGCAGAGAAGGAAACAAATTTCATGCACTTCCAAAGGTTGTACTTTAGGTAAAGGAGGCTAACAACAATATAAACTTATGTCAGCTAAATAATACCATGGAAGAAAAGTAAAGGGAACAGGGAACAATAATCAGTTGGTATTTGATCAAAGACCTGCTCAATTTGGGGAGGGAGTCTTTGGTTATTGAAGTGTACAAAATAAATTCAAGTACTCAAAGAAAGTAAATTCTAGGTATATTAATGTTGCAATTATATTGGTTATAAGTCCTTAATAGTATTAAGGATATTTAACCTTTTCTTTATCAAAGGTGGTGCCTATAATTTAAAAAATCAGAACTCACACCTATTTCAGACATGAGCTAAACTATTTACTGGTAGTATATGTGAAGGTTATGAACTTCTGTCCATGATGGAGCTAAGCTAACTACTGAGTATTCATGCCATGTTTGGTTTAAAAATAAACACAAATAACTCTCCTCCCTTCATCGACCCTCCAAGTTTTGGCTGGCTTTACTGAAAAACATCCTTTTAATTTTATCCTGAAAATAACATGGAGAAGGACTTTCTTTCAAAACAAGTTCTCCCTTGAAGAGAAACACATGTTCAAAGCACAAACATCATTCCAGTATCCAATTTAGGACTACTTAATTTCTGTAGGGTGATATCATCTTTAGGCTACTGAATCTGTTCCTCTAAACACTGTTCTATAATTCTATAACTTAGGCCCATTCACAGAAGCAGACCCAGTTTTTCTATACAACTAACTGGAGAACAACAAAGAGAACACATTTGAAAAACAAATTCCCAGGTTATAAATAATTTCTAAGAGTAGTCAAAAATAGCACCCAACATAATTTTAAAGTAAAATTTGTTTTGTTTTTTTGGTACCCGGGATCAAACTTGGGACTTTGCGCTTGTGAGGCAGGCGGGGGAACCACTGAGCTAAATCCCCAGCCCTAAAGTAAAATTTGATAGGCTGATTTTAAAATTTATTTATAAAGAAAAGGAAAATTTGGGGGATAAAGATTTATGAGTAAGTCAGGCTACTAGTTATCTAAGTAAAATATAAAGTCATGATAATTTAAGTGTAATATTAGGTGAGGTAAAGAGATAGCCAGAAAAGGTCCAGGGACATTTCCATAATTATACGGTAACATATAAGGGGAAGGGGGATAAGTAGAATAAAGTTATGCTATGTACAGAAGAAACCTAATAACCTCAAGAATATGAACACTATATGTCATAAACATGAGTTAAGACTAATACTATCAACAAGAATGAAAATGGGGAAGGGGGATTTAGAGGAGTGAGGGAGGTGAGAGGAAAAGGGAAGGGGATTAAAAAAGAAACAACCTCACGTACCCACTCCCCAAGATGGCTGTAAACTGCATGTACTGCAAACATGAAGCTAAAAAAAAAAAAAAACCCACAAAAAACAAAAACAAAGATTGATAAGTAGAAAGCAAACAAACATACAAAAAGAATCCCAAAAAGGATTCACCAACAATGAAGGGTTTGCTGCCACAAAGAGTGGGAGGATCACTGAAAAAGCCACAATTACAAGATCCAGTCACAATTCTGTAAGAATCAAAACCACAGAAAAAAATTTAAATAACAAGAGCTCAAAAAATTCTATGAGTTTTTTTTTTTTTTGAGGAATCTGTTAGAAAATAAACAATCTGAACAAAAGACTGGGGAAACTTTAGAAATTTAGTACTTGATATACTTAATTGAAAATCTAAGATTAAAATAGGGACAGGTAGAAAGATAATGTATAATATAACAATGCTGTTATGTTATATGTTCTAATAAGTAAAAGTAACAACTAAAAATAAGAAGGGAAATAGAGGAAAGTAGAATAAAGTCATTAACTGGTATTTAGGCAATAAAGGAAAGTTTAAGGATTTCATTAAAAGTGGCTAATTCTAGATTCTAAATTCTAAATAGGGAACTAAGGGCATTAAAACATATTAAGCATAAAAATGACCTCATTTGGACATTTGGTTGTTTCTTCTCTTTAACTATTAGGCTATGTACATTCATATTCAAGTTGTAATGTGAACACGTTTTCAATTTTTTGGATACAGAGCTATGAATCACAACTCTAGGTTCCATGTCACTCGTATTATATCTGTATCTTTCACTTTTTTTTTTTGGTCACTGTGAAATTATATCAAAATAATAATTTAAAAGAAAAAAAGTAAAAACAACCTACACTCAGCAAAACAAAATAATTTTCTTTCTGCATATTCTCTTAAATTCCATTCTAGTTATCTAAATTTTTAAACTCTTAAAAAAGATAGAGATGACTTCTATATTCAGGCTAACCAGATGATCTTCCCTTCCATGAGCAGTACTGACACAGTAAACATGGAATTTAGTTAGCATTGTTTAATCAATAACCTTTCAGATCTTACAGAGTAGTAAAAAATAAAACATTTGAAGTTAAGTTTAAAATCTTGTTTTCCTTTTAAGTAACAGTACTGTAAAATATAAAGCAGCCCTTAGGAGTAAGCTCATAACTTTTCTGCTCAGCCATCAGTGGAAAGGCTTTCAATTCCACCCCTTTCTAGAATTTGTTCTGCAAATTACAACCTACAGCTCTTCAAAAAATGTTTCTATGAGACTAAATGGTCAAATAACTAGATATTACACATTCTTGATTTCATGGAAATACTTCTATACAGTAAAATGCAAAACTGATTTTTGGCTGTGTTTGTACATTTAAACAATTTGCCTAAATGACTGAAATATAATTAAGAAACCAAACATTGTTCTGAAAAACTATTTTAGGATAGTGAAAATGTATGTGAACACAAATAATCAAAACTAAAATAAAAATATTTACTTACATAATATTATCTGTACACCCAGAATAAAAGTTACTGTTTTTTGTTTGCTAACAATAAATTACAACAAAGGTGATCTATTTAAAATAATTATGATTTCATGTATATCTATCATTTCTTTTGTTACCGGGGATCGAACTCAGGACCTTGCGCATTCTAGGCAGGTGGTAGAACCACTGAGCTAAATCCCCGGCCCTTATCTATCATTATTTTAACTATAGTTTGATATTTCAAAGCTGAACTAGGAAAATATAGTTCACAATAAGCCCAAATGAGAAAACCTTAGACTGACTGCTACAATCTCCAAAATCTCTTAAGAAAGTAGTAACTTGGGGCATACCATTAAAATAAATTTAAGTAGGCACTCAATTTATAAAAGGCCTCTATAATCACAAACTCATCTAAAAAAATAAAAAGCAAGCATTCTATAAGCCCTCCAGAGAGAATAAAAAATACAATTTAAAATAATAGATTAGAAAAAAAAAGAAATAATCTATTTGAGATAGGTAATTCACAAAAAGAGGTACTAATCAGTCATCAAATTTAATTTTTTTCCCCTGAAACACAGCAATTTTAGACTGCTGTTCTTTTCGTTTTCTGCTTGCTTCCCATGAAGGATGAAGAGGCGTGTTTAATGGCTGTTTTGTATTTTTAAGTCCTCTTTGTGTGCTGTTTTTAAACTGGTTCTTAATTGGAGGTTCATTTTCTGGAAAATCTATGAAGAGAAAGGAAAAATAATAAAAACTATACCAAAACAGTATGTAAAAGAAACAGATATCATCTTCACCGAAGTTATTAAAGGAAGAAATTTTATTTTAAATACTAAATTTAAAATTGAAATCCAACAGAGAAGTCTGAAATTAAAATTTTACAAATGATCAATAAATTTTGGGACACAGGCTTTCCATCCCTTATAAACACAGGTTTATTGAAGGCCTCCTGACAAATGCTATGCTGATGTTTTAATTATACTGACATTAAGAAAGAGTCTCGCCAAATAAAAGAACCAATACAAATTTTAAATTATACTGATAATTATATGATCTTTTGTTTTAATTTCTGTGGGTACAAATTCATCCAAACTATTAAGCCATTTTTAATGTTTCAACTTGCTAGTTTGCTAAACCATTGCTCATTGTACAAGGATGTCCAGTAGCCATTCATACATACCTGAGATTTTGCTTTTTGGAGCTTGTTCTCTATGCTCCCTAAAAGAAAAAAAACCATCATTATGATTTTTAAAAAGATAAAATAAATTCTCTGAATCTAGGAAAATAACAGAAAATAGATAATAAAACTCATGCACAGAATTATTAAGCTCCCTCATCCAACCAAAAATTAATAAAAGAACCTACATTTTAGCTACATCAAAGATTTGTTAGATTTTAATATTACAACAGATACACAGGGACTATTTCCTTTTCCACTCTTACAGGCACTTCTGTTCATAACTGAAAAAACTGTTCTCTTTTGGTTATCTTGTTCCGGCTCTAAGGGACTATTTAGATGAAGAATTTCACAAGTCTTCTTTTAGGGAAAATGAGACATATAAAACAAAAACTAAGATTTACATTTTGATAGAAGGGTTAGTGGTATGTTAATTTCAAATAAGGAAATACTATAGTCTATTAAGGCAGAATTAGGTTTAAATATTGTAATTACTTTTAAGGTTCCAAAGGTGGTTGTGTTTTTTTCTGTACTCTTACTTTAGATAATATCTCTACCAGATTTCTTATTCCATAAAAGAATATCTCTGACCCATACATAGAAAACAGTTTACTGGAGAAAATAGTTGTTATTGAAGAAATTATCTAACCATGATGTTTACTCCAAAATATGAAGATAGCCTCACTCAGCATAGAATATTAAATGAAATTAAGCTTACAGGTTTATAACAGAATTGTTATGACAAGTGGTGGTTAACGGCAGGGAGGAAGACAGCAATATTACCAAATATAAAGCAGCCTGGAGGAACTCAGTGTTAAGACAAGCAGTATTATGTACTGAAACAGGATTATCTAGTAAAATGATACACAATAAAATTGATGTTTGCAATAATGGTCCTGGGTTATCAAGAAAAATGTTTAAATAGACATGTAAAACATTTTTTTAAAAGTTCTTCGGGGGCCTGGGTTCAGGGGTGCCATATCTTCCTGGCAAACACAAGGTCCTGAGTTCAATCCCCGGTACCCCCCCCACAAAAAGTTCTTCATCTAAAATTAACTCAGAGTTTCAAAACTTTGCTCACTGAAGAAATAAAACAAGTTAGCCAGGCATTTGGCTGTAACATCTCATTTTATGATGAACTAGGGAGAAATGTGGCATTGCCATATGTGTATTTTTTTTTTGGTACCGGGGATCAAACTTGGGTCCTTGCGCTTGCGCAGCAGGCGGTGAAACCACTGAGCTAAATCCCCGGCCCGCATATGTGTATTTTGTATATGTTATCTCACCATAAATTTGGAAAGGCCAAGTCTAAGAATAGGATGAGGTACAAACCGTAACTATCCATCGGAAATAGTTTCCTGCCTCCCTGTTGAAAATATGTAGCTATTTCTTACCTTTAAAAACGATAAGAACTAATAATTATTTCAGAATGAAAAATTACCTTCTAGAACTTTTAGATCCAGATAAAGAGTGAAAAAATACTGATTCTAACTTCCCGGCTTCTGTACTTGACTTGTTTTTGTCATTTCTATTTTTTACATCGCAATCCCAGTTAGTTTCACGGATATCTTCTTTGGGTAACACTTGGTGGAGAGGTTTTTGTTCCTTAGCTGAAGTACGGCAACCACTTTCCTTTTTTCGTGTCCGTCTGGCTTTTCCAATGAAGAAGTCATCACCACTATCACTGTCTTCAGACATGGAAGACTGTTGGTAGAACCTTTCTTCTGTGCTATCATCAAAATATTCCTTTTCTTCTTCAAATAATTCTTCCTCGCCATCACTGTCATCACCAAGCAAGTTATCAGACCCTTTCTTTTTATTTAATGTTCTCATGTGTGGGTCAGCAGGTGTCTTCTGGAACTGAGGGGTAACTACAGAATTGTTTTCTAAAAGCTTTGATAGAGAATTTGGAATGTTCACTGCTTTCGGTCCATGTTCCATTGTGGCCATTTTTTCTTTTGAATTATTTATTGGTTTCTTTGCCTGTGTTTTGGCTTCTTTCAATTTCTGCTCAGTGGTCTTAGTTCTTTCATGCTGTGACTTACTTTCTTCATCATCTGAATACAAAGTGTCCTTAGAATGATTTCCTTCTGTAGTATTAACTTCAGTAGTATTTTGTCTTGCATCTTTAAAGGCTTGGACAGCAGCTGCAAGAAAATAGTACATGACTTGTTTAAGCACTGAAACATATAAATATGAGTTTCAGTATAGTATTTCTTAATTATTGGAAAGTTTTAAGAGAGTAGTTGGAATTTAAATTAAAACATGTTCAAATATACCTATTTTTAAGCTGCCAAGTAAAAAGAACTCTCCCTTTATTCATGTGTTAGAATTAGGGAGAATAGTAAAAATGTCACTGAATATAAATAAAGTAAAATGGTATCTTTAGTATCAGTGGCAATAATGTATTGGATATTACAAAATATGCTTTCATGGGCTGGGGATTTAGCTTGGTTGTTCTGCCACCTGCCTTGCAAGTGCAAGGTCCCGAGTTTGATCCCCAGTACCAAAAAAAAATAGTTTCAGACATAAAAATAATCTGTAATAATAGCACTCAATTCTGTATTATATTTTATATTGTATATTTAAATAAATGTGACACTGGCAGAATCAAAAGTAATGAATTATATCAATATAAATTTACCTTGTATTTGACTTGATCATGTATAAATCACATATAAAATTTATTTTATATATTATACAATATGTGTTAACATACTAAAATTTAAGAAAAAATATGGATTTAGTTTTTCTTCAGACATCAGACACTTCATATTTGCAGGGACTTTCTCATGTATTAACAGTTGAAAGAACTTTATGTTTATAATACAAAATAGTCTAAAGAATTGAAAGAACGAGAAAATATTTAAAATCAATGAACCCTCATTTATTGAAAACCATCTACACAAATGCTCTAGGTATATGACTTAAAAGTCAATTAATTCGTACCTTTTAGTATACCTATTTTTTTCTTTAGAAGAGGATGTTCGGCTAGTCGGGCAATTGCCCTTTCAGTTGCAGAAGAATCTGGCTACAAAGTGAAAAAATAAAAACACAATGATATCAAAACAACTAGTGCTGACAAATGTTATGCACTCCTCAAGAAACTGCCTTTCAGGTTACAAGAGACAAGAAGATACTACTTTGCAGAAGCTGTTTATCCTTAACTGATTCTCACAGTTTCTTTTTCCTGCTTGCAGTTACTACATATTCACTTCAAAGGTAATCTGCAATATAGGAACATCTCTATGTGTAAAACAGATAAATGTGGTTAACTATTCTCATTACATAGGTTAATCTCATCTGTTTTAGATAAGAAATTTCAAAAATGCCAAACAGATTTTGATTAAAAAGTATTCTTACACTATTGTTCAAAAACACATCTACTGTTACTTCTAAATCCCTGCTTCTTAGTTTTAGAAGAGCAATGGAAATACGTGAATGTCTAGTGTTGACTCTGAGTAAAAACTATTTTATTAATCATTTTATTGTCAAGATTTCCTGCCTTAGAAGATGCCTCAGAATATCTGGGATTTAGTAACCTCATTTCAGTAAATTCTATTAAAAAGGCTGTAAAAAAAAAAAAGGCTATAGCATAGTACTATAATTCTAAAATTATGTATAAATACAATAAATGAACATCTTCTAATCTGTTCTTACTCTACAACTGTGGTTTTATGTTGAAACTTTTTGTGGAGAATTATTAATAAGTATTTTGTTGATGGGATAGCTGCTTTTAAGGAGATATGAAACATATTCTGAGGTTTTACATTTCTTAGAAATGTGGCTTATTCATCAGGAAAAGGATGAAGCCTGAAGTTTGGGCATATGACTTCCTGTAATATATTTTGTGTCTCTGGGCAAGTTTTGAATAGCTATAAATCCAAAGTCCAGTTTACATTATGTGTTATAACACATAATTAAACTACTTAATTAAATTACTTCAGTAGGAATATAATTCTGTTTAAGAACAACAGGTAGAGGTTCTTATTCATTTAACTGGGAATCTAACAAAAATGTTATCTGGTTGTTATGTACTATATCTACTTTGCACCATAATGGCATTTGTGTTCAAAGAGTGCTTCTCATTAAAATTAGTGCTTCTAATTAAAAAAAAATTGTTAGTATATTTGGAATATATAATAAATACAATCAGCACAGGGGCTGATTATGTATGTGTGTGTATATATATATGTATATATCGCATCTTAATCCTCTTTACTTCCCCTTTCTCTCTCTTTCCTCTCATCTTCCCTCTTAGATCTCCTTCCCATCTCCACAAAGTCTATCTCCCTGCTTCCTACTCTTATCTGCTCTTTAAATAATTTTTCCTTTGGTGTCAAATCGGAAATTTTTTTGGCTACCATACACCATGGCCAAGCATCTTAGAAAATGAACTATTCCCCTTTATATCAAAATGTAAAAAATACAAAATAGATGAAGGATAAAACTCTTGTTTAGTAGGGCAAGGTTTATGAAACTAACTTTTTGGGCAAAATTAGTATTAACTTCACAGAATGAGCTCTATCATTTTTATCTGATGCAATGACTGAGGGGAGACTAAAATACATTATCAAAACATTTGACTTGGAAAAGTTCCTTGCTACTGAAATGGGGAAAAACAACAGCCAGAGATGGTAAGTAATCTGTGTGAAAGTAATGAAGCTAGTGCCAAAGGAACACTAGTTGAAATGCAAGCTCTTAGGAAACAAGGCTTTTCCCTTTACTAAACAGGAATCTTGGCAGATAGTGAGAACACAACCAATAACAAGAATAGTATCAATCACTTACTAGGAGTGTATAAAAATTGTCAACATAGAAGGAAAAAGTTATGCTCAAGTACCAATTATAATACTATTACTATAACAGTGTAATAAATTATTACAAGTTATAGTTTATATAAGAATTTGTTATAATAATTGAAGCTTTCACTGAAATGAAAATTATCTAATCAAGGCATTCACAAACATCAGAGGTAATTACAATATATATATGTATTTCATATATATCTGCTCTTCAAAGTTCCTTATATTTAGCTGCTAGCTATTTTTGTTTAATTCATATTTGTTCCTGACGGCCTATTACTGATTTTCAAGTCTGAGTTGCTTATAATCTGGAGAATAGAAAAATATCCTAATGGGGAAAAACAGTACAAATGTAAGAACTTACTCACATATGTACATAAATGCTTTGTAAATATTAAGAATTAAATTTTACATTCTTAAAAGACCATACAAAATGTAACATGCATTTCTCAATGTGTTTGTTTTTTTAAGTCTTAGAATATCAATTTTTTAGGTCTTTAGAATATCAATTTTAAATTATAGCAATTATTTAAATAACCTTTTAAAATTCTTCCTGAGTAAAAAGGTAAAATTTAACATTTAAGTCTTTAATTTTAAGAAACAAATTTAACATTTTAAACTTTTCATTAATTTTTTTCTTAAGAAAGCAATTTTAATTTTATTCTTAAGAATTTTATTTGTAGAAAATCCTGCAGTTAACTTTTTAAATTTAAATTTTGACAAGGGCTAAGGGTGATACAGGTCAAAGGTTTTATCTATCAAAAAAGACTGACAATCCAGACTTGATTTTTAATTATTTAGCTAGTTAGGATCAAGATCAGTTTCTGAATTTAGTCAGATGTTCCTAAATTACATTCTAGCCACTTAACTTTCACTTATTACTCAACTCTAAATGCTTCTTTTACATTACAAATTCTGTAAAGCCTTCTTCAAAATTCTTTGGAGGGAAATAAAAACAAACATTAACATAAATAAGCTTGTGAAGCAAGTGGGCTGAATCCTTGTTTTGGCAAAGTTTGGGTCTTTGCTGCATTACATAGTGCCTACATCTTTCTCACCAGCTCTGTTAAGCTAAGTGCAGAACTCACAAGAATAATAAGAGCAAACAGTACTACAAGAGACTTCCCTTTCTTTTTTCCTCCTTATTTCTCTCCTGTCCCTTTTCTTACCTAACATACATGCTCTTTAAATTTACTAACCCCCTATCATGTAAAGGCATCATCTTACATATGAAGATAGAACTGCAATTTATTGAGGCTCTCGATGCATTCTAATTTAAAAATTAGACCCCAGAAATAAAAGATGCAATCAAAATTGAATAACTGAAATGTACAGATGCTTTTCAAAAGAAGAAGTACAAATGGCCAATAAGTACATGAAAAAATATTTAGCATTTTTGGCCACAATAGAAATGTCAATCAAAACAACAATAAATATCAAAATCATATCTGGAATATCTTCCAGAAAGAGTAAAAAAAAATCATTTAAAAATGATACATTCATACCCATGTTTATAGTATCACAATTCATTACAGCTAAATTTTAGTTGTAGTATATATGCCCACCAACAGATGAATGGATAAAGAAAACGTGGAACATATCCAACGGAGTGCTACTCAGCCATTGTAGGAAAATGGACACATCTTGAGAACTTACATAAATGATATAAATCAGACACAGAAGATTAAACATCACATGGTTTCTCCTACATGGGAAACCCAAAATATAAATACTTTAAAGAGCAAAATAAAAGAGAGATGACAGGAAATGGGAAGGCAGACTCTGTGGAGATAGGAAAGGAGTTTTGGAAATGGTAGGTGATAACAGGGCTAGGGCGGAGGGAAGTAAAAATGATCAAGATGTGATATATTCACATCTTATCAAATTAAATTTGCTATTTTATTTCTGTATAAAACTATTCATATATCCTAGCTCAGTATTTTTTAATATTTCATCCAATATAGAAAAATTCGGTAGGCACAATGTAAGAAAGTACAGTTCTTTTTATAAGATTGATAAGATGTGATATATATGTATATTCTTCAAGATGAATAAAACTAATATATATTATAAAAATAATACCAAATAAATAAAAGGCTAAGACAAATACACAAATGATTTGCGCAAGGCAAAATGTGATAAATTTCATTTAAGAGAGAAAACGTTATGGAGCTATACAAGGAATACAATTAGAGTGATACATCTTAAATTTAAATAAATTTATTTTGAACCTTAAAAGCTACTAAGTAGTCTCTAGGAACAAACAGCTTTTACACCTGCATGAACAAGCGTTCACAATATTGGGAAGTATGAAAGAAACCACAGCTTTCCTTACTTAAAATTGACCCAATGTTTGCCATGGAAAATTCTCAGGAAACTGTGGTTTTCACATACCTCCAGCTTCAAATGAAAACATAGAAAACAGACTGTCTTTTAATGGAAAAATTTTATTTTGGCATATGGGTGTTTATTGTTATCACAAATGCATTTAATGTTCATTTTGCAAAGAATTTTCAAAATGTAACCCTGAATGTAAACCACAGTCTAAACACACACACACACATACGCACCAGCCCAAAAACCTAAAACCCAAAAATACTCTTAATGTGCAGTATTAGTTCTTTGAAATCTTGCCTAAAATGACTCTAAATGAACTGGCAGAAGTAGAATGCTAATATTGGTACTTTTAAAATTAATCGGGCTTTATTTCACTTCTGGGTTTTATCTAAAGTTATACTGCAAGAATTAACAATTGCATTTATCCAAAATATTCAGCAAGATAAGTGGAAATGGTCCATTTGGCTGGACCAGAAGAACTGTGGCAAACTCTGCATGGATATTTTGGAGGTAATAAAATTTTTCAAGACTTAATTATTATCATATATAAACTCAACTAAGATATTTTAAATTACTTCCTGAAAACAGATGAAGTTTTTTCCACAGAAGGGAAAAAGATCTATACTTTCTTATATTGTACCTACTAAATTTTTCTACATTGGATGAAATATTAAAAAATACCGAGAGCTAGGATATATGAATGTAGTTTGATACAGAAATAAAGCTTATAGGAAATTTAATTTGATAAACACACGCAAGATGTTATATGTAAATATCTCTATGAGGGGCAAGGTAAATAAACATAAATAATAAAACCAGTCATTTAAAGGCTATAGAGATTTTTTTTTTTTCAGTACCGGAGATCGAACTCGGGTCCTTGCGCTTGTGCAGCAGGCGGCGAGGCTATAGAGATTTTAATAATACAAGCTAACTTTTTCTCAATCAACTGGAGAAAGAATTTGCTTTATGGTATGGGTATTATTTCTCTTCTTCTTCTTTTTTTTTTTTTTTTTTTGGTACAAGGGATCAAACTCAGGACCTTGCGCTTGCGAGGCAGACGGTGGAACCACTGAGCTAAATCCCTGGCCCCTCTCTTCTTCTTGAAAGGAGAGCCCTACTGAAGTTCAATTTCATCAAAGTTGTCAGGTCTATTTTTAGGGGACAGTGTTATTTATCTTCAGACAAAACTTGCATTAAATCCCAATTACACTGTCTTTGGATCCTACTTCCAAGAGTAGATCAATTCCTAAATTTATTGGCCTCAGAACACAGAATGTGCATATCCTACAGTCAACTAAGGAAGAAGTCATACAAAAAAATAGAAAAATGAAAAAGTGGAAGTAATATTCAACTCCATTTACTTATAATGAATGCTAGGCAAGCAGTAGCTAACTCTAATAAGAGCAGGTTTTAAAAATCTATCCTTTTAATACTGTGAAGCCGTGGAGAGACCACAATGCTTCAAGAACTTAAGAAATTACAAATATATAATATACTAAGAAAATATCAAATAAAAATAGTTAGAAAGAGATGAGAAGGGAAAAAGAATATACTCCCCATAATGGAAAAGAGTAGTTACATATACCATGTCTTAGGATATAGTACACCCTCTTAATTGCATATATTGGTTGCATGTAAGGCTAGGGAAATAAATGACCTAAAATACCTAAGTTGACTGGTGTGACAAGGAAAGTTTAAGCTACCCAAATGCATCTAGATTTTACTTAGTTTTAAGGTAATATTTAATTCCTGGTACGATGCATGGTACGTGGTGCTCATCAAAAATATTCATATAAAGATTGACAGGAGAAAGAAATGTAAATTAGAGCAAAAACCAGTGAAACCAAAAACATAAAAGCACAGAGAAAAATCAGTGTTCTGACCGGGAACTGTCTTGTTGCGGGAGTTACAAAGAAAAGAAAAAAGGGGAAACAAGGAAGAAACAGCAGTGCCAAGTCTAGAGCAGAAGATCTAGATAACAGTACTGACTGTGCCATGAGATAGTTAACAGCGTTAAGCAGTGGAGTTCATTCTTTTTTGATCTCTATTTCGCTCAATTATAAAAAAGGAGTTAAAACAAATCTCTGACAAGGTAAAGCAGAAATTAAATGAGGAACTTAATGAAAATCTGGAAAGGATAAGAGTAGATTCTTAATTAAAAAGAGTAAAAATAATTTTAAAGACATATAAAATATGAAATACTGTATTAAGTTCAATATCACAGCAAAGAAAAATTTATAAATTATCATAAAAATATTTTCAGTGGCAATTCTAAAGCTCAGTGAGGGAAAGTCATATACTAATAGTAAGTGGCTTCTTGATAAGTCTTCTCTTTAATGAAAAAGGTGACGGGAAAAAAGTAAGGAATAGGGCCAGGGATTTAGCTCAGTGGTGCCACCTGCCTCGCAAGCATAAGGTCCTGAATTCAATCCCCGGTACCAGAAAAACAAAAAAGTAAAAAAGTAAGGAATATATGTAAAAAGCTTTTCAAAATTAAATACAGTCTATTGCAGATATACCTTTTTGCAGATCTTTTCAAAGTTGATATCATCACCAAGAGCAGATTTAGTTACTATATCAGGTTTCAATTCCTATGAAAGAAAAAAACCCCCACAAAACTTTTAGTTATGAGTCTAATTTTAGCTGTCATTGTAAGTTAAATTCCTTTCCAGGACTTGCTTTACGAAACTTGATACTAATTAAAATCTTAATTTTTTAAAAGGAATAACACATAGAAATTTCCATGCTACTGAGAAAGCCGTAACAAAATAGTTTTAAGTGCTAATTTTTCTAAGAATGTGTACAAATCAAGTACAAAGATTTTCAAGGAACTCCAATACATAATCAACTGTAAACCAAGGACTTTATGCCCAAGCAGCTCTTTAAATATCAAGTCTAGGCTGTGGATTTAAACATCAAATCTACAGGAAAAGTTCTGAACGTCAAAGAATTTAGGGAATATTACTCATGTGTACTTCTCCAGAGGAATATTCTAGAGGAGGGACTTTAGTCAACAGCAAATAACTTTGATAAAAGGACTGCTGGCTTGTATTTGTAGAGCTAGAGCTAAAATAAGTGTATGGGTATAGAAGAATGTACATAGGTAAATGCTACATGTTTGGATTGAAGAGAAAAAACTAATTGAAAAGAAGAGTTAGAGGAAGGTAGAACAAATAGACAGGAGTCAAAGGATATCACTGAAAAGTGGACAATCACACTAGATCTAGGAGGAACACTTCCTCCTGCCCCATTCCCAGGGTGTGCAACAATTTTTTAAAATAAACAATTTAACTTGATGGGTTATAGTATCTCTCTTTGATGCCCTCTTAAGAAATAAAACGAGTGCCAGACTTCACCGAACAATCAGGCAGGCTATTCAAGCACCACTGAATTTCCTTATACACTGGTACTCCAGTCTGACATAAAAAATGGAAGGAAGAAGCAGCTGGTCACCACCTGAGCTTGGCATGGTGGCTTCCACAGGAAAGTCATACGGGAAGGAATCAAGGGATGGCCTAGGAAGGTAGTTTCCATAAGAAACAACCCAAGCACTGTGGCATACACAACAGTGAGGGACCTGGTGGCAGAGTCCAAGTTACGGCATTATAACCTTATATATTCTTCTTGCATGCTCTTTTTAATACATTGCTTCCATTTCCATTTATACTTCAATCAAAAATAAAATGTAACAGTGCAATAAACAAAATAGATTAGAACATGCAAGACTACATAAAAAATAGAAAAGGTCACTAAGTGTTACAAGTACAACAGTAGCCATTATACAAAACATACAGTTCTACATATCAAAAGAAATTTTTTGAAAATTGCAATGATGACACATCTAGCAAAGAAATAAGCAGTAACTATAACACAGAATACTCAATAATTAGAAAATATGAGAGTATAAACATCAGAAATATAACTGAATGTAAATTAGTTTAACCTATCTCTTAGGAGAAAAAGATCTTTAACTTGGATAAAGAGTAAAACCCAACTCTACGGTGTAAAGTATATAAGAGATACATAAGAACGTGGCTATTTCAAAAGGCTAAAAACAAAGTGGTGGGCAAAGATTTACTAATCAAATTGGATTCATTAAAAAGCAGATATGATAAAGCTGTGTCATGCAAAGAAGAAAAGTTAAGATTTCTGACAATACTGCCAATGCATTAAATAAAATATAGCAATTAATTATATAAAGAAAAAAACAACAGAAAAAGAAAAATATAAACACTATTATAAACACTGTTAATAGGAGACTTTGACACACTACTCCCAGTTTGAGAAAGTTCAAACCTGAAAAATTACTTACCAAGACATTACTAGCATAGTTACTGTTATGGTTTGGATCTAGATATCCATCAAAAGCCTCATGTACTCATAAGTGGGGCTTTTGCAAGAGGACTGGACCATGAGCCCCTATAGCTAACTTTCAGTTAGGAGGTGGGGTGTTGTCAGTGAGGCAGGGAGCCTGGAAGGGTATCTCTCCTACCCAGGCTGCTTTATCTCTCTGCTGCTGCGGACTGCCATAACATGAAGAGTTTTCTGCCATGCAGGCCCTTCTGCTATGCCCTTTTTAAAAAATTCATTAAGTTTATTGGTAATTTTAGGTATACATAATAATCACATTCATCATAGGGAATTTGTACCTGTAAATGATATATCTTCTTTTTTCCTATTCCCCTTTCCTCCCTTCAACCCCTCTTTCCTTCCTTTACAGAAGCTTTGTTTCTGTTCTGTCCTCATTTTATTTCTTTTCCTTTGCTCCTGCCCCCAGTTCCCCTTCCTGTTTCAACATTTTCTTCCCATTTCACATTATTCATTATACATTTTGGTCCTTATTTTTACTTTCGGTTTCTCACACCAGAGAAACAATACAGTATTTACATATGTGTCTGATTTATTTCACTTAAGAGTATGGTCTCAAGGTGCATCCATTTAGCTATAAATATCTCAAGTTTATCCTTCTTTATGGCTAAGTAGTACTCCATTGTATAAAAAAACCTACATCTTCTTTATCCATTCATCAGTTGGGCGTTTAAGGCTGTTTCCAAGATTTAGCTATTATAAACTGTGTGGCTATAAACATGGGTGCAGATATATTGCTGTGGTATGATGCTTTTAATTCTTTTGGGAAGATACTAAGAGAAACAGCTGGGTCAAATGGAACCTCTAGGTTAATTTTTTTTTTTTTTTGGAGGTATCTCCATACTGATTTCCACAGTGGTTGCACCAGTCTGCACTCCCACCAACAGGAGAGAAGGATTGCTTTACCCCACATCCCAATAAGCATTTGTTATTGATTTCTTGATAAGAGCCATTTTTTGTGGAGATGGAATCTCAGCGTTGTTCTAATTTGCATCTCTCGAATGACTGGTGATGTTGAACATTTTTCATGTATTTATTTCCGGTTTCTACTTCATCTGAGAAGTGTCTATTTGTTTCAGATGTCCATTTTTTGACTGAGTTTTTAAATCTGGGGGAAGGGTCTGATGTTTCTGAGTTCTTTATGTATCCTAGATATTAGTCCTTTGTTTGAGGAACAGCTAGAAAAAAATTTTTTTCACCACACTGGGGGTTGTCTCTTCACTCTGTTGGTTTCTCTTGCTGTACAAAGGCTTTTTAATAACATCAGATCCCAGTTGTTGATTCTTTGTAATATTTCCTGTGTAACTGGGGTTTTGTTCATAAAGATTTTGCCTACACCTATGTCGTCAACAGTTCTATTTTTTTTTGGTACTGGGGATCGAACTCAGGTCCTTGTGCTTGTGAGGCAGGTGGCGGAACAGCTGAGCTAAATCCCCGGCCCTTCTACCTATTTTATCTTCCAGCAAATTTAATATTTGTTTTAATATTCAGATCTTTGATCCATTTCAATTTAGTGCACGATGAGAGATATGGGTCTAGTTTTAATCTCTGGCATGTGGAAACCCAGTTTTCCCAGCACCATTTATTAAAGAGGCTATCTTTCTTCCAGTGAAGGTGTTTGGCTCCTTTGTCAAAGATAAGGCGGCTGAGCATGTTTGAAGTAGTTCCTTCTAATCTGTTCCATTGATCCTCAGGTTATTTATTTATTTATTTTTGCCAGTACCATGTTGTTTTTATCTTAACTTCTCTGTAGTATAATTTCAAGTCAGGGATTGTGATGCCCCCTGCCTTGCCTTTGTTGCTCAGAACTGTTTTTGCTATTTTAGGTCTCTTCTGGTTTAAATTTTAGAATTCTTTTTTTCTTTTTTTTAAATTTTAGAATTCTTTTCTCTAATTCTGTGAGACAGGCTATTGGAATTTTGATTGGGATGGCATTAAATCTGTGTAACAACTTTGGAAGTATAGGGGTTGGGGATTCAGCTCAGTGGTTTCACCGCCTGCTGCACAAGCACAAGGACCCGAGTTCAATCCCTGGAACCAAAACAAACAAACAAACAATTTTGGAAGTATGGCCATTTTCTTCATATTTGTTCTTCCTACCCAAGAACAAGGGATATCGTTCCATTTTCTGATTATCTTCTTTGATTTCCTTCTTCAGAGCACTGTAGTTTTCAGAGTAGAGGTTTTTTACTTCCTTCATTAGATTGATTCCTAGGTATTTCATTTTTTTGTATGCTACTGTGAAAGGTGTGATTTCTATAATTTCTCAGTGAGTTTGTTATTTGTGAACAGGAATGCTACTGATTTTTGAGTGTTTACTTTGTATCCAGCTACACTACTGAATTTGGTTATTAAATCTAGGAGTCTTTTGGTGGAGCTTTTGGGGTCTTCTATGTAGAGTATCATGTCATCTGCAAATAATGATAATTCAACTTTTTCCTTTCCTATTCTTATTCCTTTTATTTCTTTCTCTTTTCTAACTGCTCTGGCTAGTGTTTCCAGAACTATATTGAATAGGAGTGGTGACCGTGGATGTCCTTGTCTTGTTCCTGATTCTAGAGTGAAAGCTTTCAGCTTTGTCTGTTCAGTATGTTAGCTGTTGGTTTGTCATAGATGCCTTTTTCAGACTGATATAAAGACCATCTATTCCAATTTTCTATAGGGTTTTTTTTTTTTTATCATGAATGGCTATTGGACTTTGTCAAACACTTTTTCTACATCTACTGAGATGATCATGTGGCTTTTGTCCTTAGCTCTGTTAATGTGGTGTATTACAATTATTGATTTGCATATATTGAACCATCCCTGTGTCCCTGGGATGAATCCTACTTGGTTCTGGTATATAATTTTCTTGGTGATTTGGTGCATTCTGTTTGCCAGTATCTTATTGAGGATTTTTGTGCCTATGTTCATTAGGGAGATTGGCTTGTAGTTCTCTTTTTGGGTTGGATCCTTTTCTAGTTTTGGTAATGCTTACTTCTAGGAATGAATTTGGGAGTATTGCTTCCCTTTCAATTTTCACGAAAGAATTTGAGAAGTAGCGGCATTAGGTCTTCTCTAAATTTCTTGTAGAGTTCAGGAGTGAATTCATCAGAGCTTGGGCTTTGTTGGTAGGACTTTAATTACATCTTCAATTTCACTGACTGATACTGATTTATTTATAGAGTTTTTATATCTTCTTGATTCAGCTTTGGTAACTCATATGTATCTAGGAATCTGTACATTTCTTCTGTTTTCCATCTTATTAAGCA